TGTTGAGGTATGTTCCGTCTATGCCCACTTTCTGGAGAGTTTTGATCATAAATGGATGTTGAATTTTATCAAAAGCTTTTTCTGCGTCTATTGTGATTATCACATGGTTTTCATTCTTCAGTTTGTTAATGTGGTGTATCACATTGATTGATTTGCATATATTGAAAAATCCCTGCATCCCTGGGATAAATCCCACTTGATCACAGTGTATAATCCTTTTACTGCATTGCTGGAGTTGATTTGCTAGTATCTTGTTGAGAATTTTTGCATCTATTTTCATAAGTGATATTGGCCTGTACTTTTTTGTGTGTGTGTGATATCCTTGTCTGGTTTTGGTAACAGGGTGATTATGGCCTCATAGAGTGAGTTTGGAAGTGTTCCTTCCTCTGCAATTTTTTGGAATAGTTTCAGAAGGATAGGTGTTAACTCTTCTCTAAATGTTTGCTAGAATTCACCTGTGAAGCCACCTGGTCCTGGACTTCTGTTTGTTGGGAAGTTTTTAATTACTGGTTCAATTTGAGTGCTGGTAATTGGTCTATTCATATCATCTGTTTCTTCCTGGTTTAGTCTTGGCAAATTGTACCTTGCTAAGAAATTGTCAATTTATTCTGCATTGTGCTTTTCGATGGTGTATAGTTTAAAATATAGTTTGAGTTAACATGTGTTGAGCCCTTTTTGGCACTATGCCTTTCGTGTGTATTGTTTCATTTTTTTTCTCCCTATGACATGGGTACTACTGCTAATCCCATTTATAGATGAGGGAACTAAAAGCACAAAGAGGGTGAGTGACTTTCCTAAGGTCACCCACCCAGTGAGGGAGGGGGAACAAAGCTGGTTCTCTGGCTCTAGGGCCTACACCCCTCACTCCTACCCTCCATCATCCATGCCATTCAGAGCTGCTTTTTCCTTTTTAAAAAAATTGGTATGAACTTATATAATATAAAATTAACTATTTTAAAGTGTACAATCCAGTGGAATTTATTACAGTCACAGTGTTGTACAACCACCACCTCTGTATAGTTACAGAACATTTTTATCATCCCAAAAGGATATCCTGTCCCCGTGAGCAATTACTCCCATCCCCATTCCCAAGCCCCTGGCAACCACTAAATCACTTTCTGTCTCTATGGATTTGCCTGTTCTGGACATTTCATATAATCAGAATCATATACTAGGCAGCCTTTTGTGTCTAGCTTCTTTCACTCAGCGTGATGTTTTAAGGTTCATCCACATTGTAGCATGTGTCAGGGCTTCCTTCTTTTTCGTGGCTGAATAATATTCCATTTAGAGGTGGACCACATTTTGTTTATATCCTTTCATCCATTGATGGACACTTGGGCTGTCTCTGCCTTTTGGTTGTTGTGAATAGTGAGGAGCTACTTTTAAATGCAGGAAAGGATGAAAAGGGAAGGGGGTTCCCAGCCAGCAGCAAGTCCAAACTCCCATTTACAGTTAAGGAAAGTAAGACACCCTCAGGAGGGTCTGGTACTCACCCAGACTTGCCTGGCCTATATTTGTTCTCAGCCCAAGCTTGAGTGGCTCACTTGTTCCAGCCGACATTCACCAGCACCTAATGTATACACTTCCTGGGCCGTGGCAACAGCATTGACCAGTGGGGCCAAGAAAGCATGTAAAGTGGGCTGGGCATCCAGAAGATCTTCTAGGGAGGCTGAGATGTGAAGGCTAAGGAGTGAGGGGAAGAGCATTCTAAGCAGAGAGAATAGTTGGTGCAAAGGCCCTGACGCTGGAGTGAGCCTGGTATGTGGGAAGCTGTGTGCTGGGGAGAGTGAGCAAAAGTAGCAAAAATGGGGACAGAGAGAGAAGAAGGCAGCATCCCGACCCCTGAGGGCCTTGTGAGCCCTGGTAGGGAGTTAGGATTTTTATTCTGATCATGACAGAAGCTGCAGCAGGGCAGAAGCAGGGAAAGAGTGATGTGATTTTAGATTCTTCCTTGGGGGACAGGAGGCGGGGGCATTGTGGGACAGGAGAAGGTGGGGCTTGGTCTCCAAATCAGTTTCCTGAACAAAACTTGGGTGTATCCAACAAACCTCAAGCAAACAGTGGTCTATAATATCCTATTATTTTTAAATTTAATTTTAACTTTATTTGGGGGGGATAATTAGGTATTTATTTATTTATTTTTAATGGAAGTACTGGGGATTGAACCCAGGCTTTGTGCATGCTAGGCACGCACTCTGCTGCTGAGCTATACCCTCCCCACTTTATCCCATTGTTTTTAATGTGTGGCCATTCAAAGCAATCACTCTGGGTGTGCAGCATGCCACATACAGCATGCAGAAAGTGGGTCAATGTTGATGAAATCGTGGAAACGGACACAGGGAGCAAACACCTCAAACCTTGAGTGCGTGGCAGGAGTTGGATGATGTTAAAAAGAAACTTGGTCATTATGATAAATCACAGAGAAAAGAATGTGACAATGAGTGTGTATATGTCCATGAATGACTGAAAAATTGTGCTGAACACGGGAATTTGACACAACATTGTAAAATGATTATAAATCAATAAAAAATGTTAAAAAAAAAAAAAAAAGAAAGAAAGAAACTTGGTCAGAGGAATCGCAGTCGTGTGCTGGCAACCCCTGGGCCTACCGCGTCTCTGAATCCTCAAACCCTTTAACGAACGTCCCCTCTGACTCTCATTGCACAGTCCAGGAGTTGAGACTTAGATGACAAGGGGGCATGAAGAATAAAAATATTAATGACCAAGAAAAATGATTGTGGGAGAAATGAAATATTTTATATAACTTTCTCGTTAGTATGTTTTAAATGTCCTATAATTGACTTCACACAAAATAGAACCGCCTTGCTCCCCCATTGTCTGGCCACCAAGGGCTGGGGAGCAGGTTTGCACTCTGATCTTGTCTGTCCAGCTGTGGGGTTTCTTGGGGGGCCCTTCCAAATCTCACTTGTCACCAAACTGGCAAGACGGCTAGTGTCCCAGTTTCTAGTGTTGACTTTTGCGATTCCCCACCCCCACCTCACCCCCACCATGCCCCGCCTACCCTCCAGGCGTCCTGTCTCCAGGTGACCTCGACACACCCTCTTTGCGGAGCCATTTGGAAGTATCTGTTGGTGAGGGGGGATCTGCTTTTCCAGGCATCAGATACTCTCCAGAGCAACTGCAGTTGATGGGGTGCCGAGCTGGGCCAGCATGGATGGCAAGGTCAAGGTGACTGCATTAGGAAATCTTGAAGCCACTGCAGGAAAGGCAAGAACTCACCTCTGGTGAATTCAGCAAGGCCAGATGCAAAAAATGCTTCACCCAAGACCTGCCTGTAGAACTCTGTAACATCTGCCAGTGGTAGCATTTCCAAACTACTGCATGAGATCTGAGAATAATACGAAACAGCATGACTGATCATCATTATTTGGAGTATTAATTTTACCATGAAGAATGCTGAGTTTTTGCTATTGAGCTGAAACCTTCATCCTCAAACGTCCCTGCCAGCCCCTGTGTGTGCCAGGGTTCCCAGAATCATTGTTCCTCTGAAAAGATTCATCCTGGGTCTGCTGTGTGCTGGGACTTGGGCCACTGGAGGAAGGAGGCCCAGTCTTGGGCTCTGCCACATTGAGAATCCTAGGAAAGCATCTTTTTTCCCAGAAAAGTGCACATGTGCTGATCCATCATAGCCCTTTTTTTTTTTGGCTATATATATATATTCTTTTTCAGGTTCTTTTCCATTATAGGCTATTACAAGACATTGAATATTGTTCCCTGTGCTATACAGTACAAACTTGTTGTTTATCTGTTTTATATATAGTAGTGTATGTCTGCAAATCTCAAACTCCCAATTTATCCCACATCCCCTTTTCCCCTTTGGTAACCGTAAGTTTATTTTCTAGGTCTGAGAGTCTGTTTCTGTTTTATAAATAAGTTTGCCTTGGGAGAGGGTAGAGCTCAGTGGTAGAGTGCATGCTTAGCATGCACGAGGTCCTGGGTTCAATCCCCAGTACCTCCTCCAAATGTCAATAAATAAACCCAGTTACCTTCCCCCATAAAGAAAAAAGAAAAAAAAATCATTAAAATAAATGTATGCCCATTTTTTAGATTCCACATGTAAGTGATATCATGTGATATTTGTCTTTCTCTTTCTGACTTACTTCACTTAGTATGATAATCTCTAGGTCCATCCATGTTGCTGCAAATGGCATTATTTCATTCCTTTTCATGGCTGAGTAGTATTCCATTGTGTGTGTGTGTGTGTGTGTGTGTGTGTGTGTGTGTGTGTGTGTACACACCACATCTTCCTTATCCTTTCATCTGTCGATGAACATTTAGGTTGCTTCCATGTCTTGGCTATTGTAAATAGTGCTGCTATGAACATTGGGGTCTTCACAGCCCATTTTTATATATAATTCATAATGTTCTTAAACCCCCTTATGCCTGAGACAGAGGCTCCCTAAGGAGTTGGGTCCATCTGTAAATGTATGTTGAGACCCTGCTACATGCCATGCACCAAGTCTATAAATAATTCTTAGCAAGTATAACAAAGACAAGGCATAATAACAAACAACAAAAACAACAGTAGTAATGGTAGCCAACAGTACTTGAGTACTTATAATGTGCCAAGCATTGCTTGGAACTCTTAGTATGGATTAATTCCTTCAACTCTTATAACTACCTCGTGCAGTAAGTGCTTTCTTTTATCCCCATTTTACAGGTGAGGAAACTGAGGCTCAGAGAGGTTAAGTGACTTGCCCAAAGTCACACAGGTAGGGTTCAAACCCAGGAACTTAGCTCCAGAGACCACAGTGTCATGCTGCAGCCCACAGGGACGCTGAGAGAGTTCGAGACGAATGGGTGAGGAAGGGGATGAGGGAGGAGCTTTAGGGTAGCTCAGCACGCATGACTTACTGCTCTGCACAGTGAGTCTGGAGCCCCACCTGTTTTCTGAGGATAGGTCAATTTATCCCCAGAGGTCGAGTTATCCTTGCAGCCTTTACCAAATGCCCTAACATTTCCTCTCCTCTTGCTTCCAGGAGCTGGAGAAGCTGGGGCTCGGTGACAGCGTGGACCTGCATGTGTATGAGATTCCAGTGGAGTACAAGACAGTCCAGAGGCTCATCCCCGCCCTGTGGGAGAAGCACAGTCCACAGGTGAGTGGGGCAAAGGTGAGTGGGGTGAGGGCAGGTGCTTCCTCATCAGGACCTGCAGATGGGCGCCCCAAGCATGGATAGTTTGTGTGGTCTTGTTCCTGCCCTGATCACATGGCTGACGCCACAGCCTTATCCCCCAAAGGGCCACACTTTCCTGGGTTACCCCCAGAGGTGAGTGAGGAGGGCAACATCTGGAACTTCCCAGAGCCTGGTTCTGTTTGACTGGAGTTCTGTACCAGTCATGGCATGTTTGGTTTAACTGACAGTCAAAACACACCTCAACCCAGCTTGAGCGCAAATTTTCGTATGGTTCAGATGTAGCTTGATCCAGGCACTCACCCAGTGTCATCAGCCTTCTCTCTTGTCCACTCAGCTGTGCTTTGCTCACTGCTTTTGCTGTGGCAAAGACAGGTGGCTACTGGCTGATGTCCTCCCAACTCAGCTCAGCTGCAGTAAGAGAACACCTTTTCTCCAAATAATTCCCCGAAGTCTATGGCTGATTCTCATTGGCCAGCTTGGGTCACAGGCTAGTCCCTGAGCCAGTCACTCTGGCTGGAAAAGAAGAAATGCTCTGATTGGTGAGGCCTGGGTCACATGCCCACTCCGGTGGCCAGCGGGTGGTGTCACCTTTCTGCAAACTCCCTAGAATGAGAAGTGGGTGGGTTCCACAGAGGGAAAATGGCTGGGGGAGGGAACTTTGGTTTTAAGCAGATACGATGAATGGAGGCCAGACAGAGAGGAACCAAACCCTGCCACCAGAGGTACAAGTGAATCGGCTAAGACCTGGGGCAGGAGCTGCCTGGGAACCCACCTGGACTGGTATCTCCAACAGGTGAGGTCCTGGTCCCCTGTGGGGACCCCACGTAACTTCCCACCTTAGCCTGCTGTTTTGGATTCTGCAGCACTGGCTGGAGGAGCCTTCCTTTCTAAGGCGCCCTCCCATCGCACCTCAAGTAGAATTGTCCCCTTTATATGGAGGGGGACCTGGAGGCTTAGCCACATGTGACTGAAGGTTTTGTGAATGAGCTGCATCTATGCAGACCTGCTTTACTCTAGTTAAAAAGAAAACCTAGTGCAGGAACATGTTTTTAAAAATTTTCTCACCATATAGAAAGGGATAAAGAAAAAGGATTTGGGGGCCAGGCTGCTTCTGACCAGCTGTGAGGTCACAGGCAAGCTCCTTGGGCTCCTTGTGCCTCAGTCTCCTGTGATAGGTGGGAATAATAATATAGTCAGGATTCAACCAACCACAGACTGAAAATGTTTGGGAAAAAAAATTCCAGAAAGTTCCAAAGAGCAAAACTTGAATTTGCCTTGAGCCAGCAGCTATTCACATAGCATTTACATTATATTAGATATTACAAGTAATTTAGAGATGATTTTTTTTGTTTTTTGCCTTTTTTTAATGGAGAGAGTGGAAAATTAAACCCAGGACCTCACACATGCTAAGCATGTGCTCTACCACTGAGCTATACCCCATACCCCACCCCCTAGGGATGATTTTTTAAAATTATACCTTGGTAATGAGTTTATAAGAGATCTTTTTTGGTTGAACTATAGTTGATTTACAATTTTGTGTTACTTTCAGGTGTACAGCACAGTGATTCTGTTATGTATATAACTGAATATATATATATATATATTCATATATATATATATATATATGTATTCTTTTTCAGATTCTTTTCCATTACAGGCTATTACAAGATATTGAATATAGTTCCCTGTGCAATAAAGTAAATCCTTGTTGTTTAAAGATGATTTAAGGTATATGGGTAAAACAAACAAACAAACAAACAAAACAAGCAAACAAACCTAATCCCCTTCAATAAATACATAAATAAATAAAATTGCAAAAAGTAAAAAATAAAGTATATGGGAAGATGTACGGTAGTTTATATGCAAATACTACACCAGTATATATATATATATATATATATATATATATATATATATATATATATATATATATATATATGTATGTATTTTTTTTACACCAGTTTATATGAGACTTGAGCATCCCTAGATTTTGATATCTGAGTGGGGAGGGGGGTCCTGGAACCAATCCCCTGTGGATACTGAGCTGAGGGATGACTGTCGTACTAAAATTCTACCACCATTTCAGTGCGTGTGTGAGGTTATCCCCACACCATGTGATTCTCGGACAGCATGTATATCCTCCAACTCAACTCCTGACACTGTCTACCCCGAGGTAGCATCAGATCCCTCAGGGTAAGGGCTCTGTCCCACAGGACTGCCCTCCACTTTAGGGGCCAATCTTAAGTCTAGGTCGTTGTCACCTGTGCTTCTGACCAGGGGTTCCCATGACCCCCCTCCTTGGGTTTGATAAATTTGCTAGAGCAGCTCCCAGAACTGAGGAAACCCATTTACTATATTGTAAACCAGATTACTGGTTTATTATAAAAGGATATAACTCAGGAACAGCCAGATGAAAAAGATGCAGAGGGCAAGATATGTGGGAAGGTATACAGAGCTTCCACACCCTCTCTGAGTGCCCCACTCTCCCCAAATCTTCATGTGTTCACTAATTAAGAAGGTCTCCCAACCCTATTATTTAGCGGTTTTATGGAGGTTTCATGACATAGGCATTATTGATTAGTTCTTTGGCCATTGGCAATTAAACTCCATCTCCAGGCCCTCTCCCTTCCTCTGAGGTAGGGAGCCGGGGCTGAAGGTTCTAACCTTCTAATCACATGGTTATTTCCCCTGACAACCAGCCCCCATCCTTAGGTGCTTCCTAAAAGTCACCTCATGAACAAGAGAAGACATTTATTGCTGTCATCACTTGGGAAATTCTAAGGCTATGAGGAGCTCTGTGCCAGGAATAGTGGATTAAGAACAGGTATATATTTCTTATTATAAATTGCAATAGTACAAGTACCAACATCATGAATTCGTGGTGGGGACGAGGGAGAGGAGGCCAGCAGGGAGGTGAACAGTTCTCAGCCTCCCCTAGGGTTTCTCAGCCATGCTGGGGCTGGATCATTCTCTGTGATGGGCCGGGCTGTGCACTGTAGGGTGTTGAGCAGCATTCCTGGCCTCCACCCATGAGATGCTGGGAGCACTGTGTCCTCAATGTTGATACCCCTTAATGTCTCCAGACACTGCCAAACGTCCTCTGGGGGCTGGATCACCCCTGGTTGAGAACTCCTGGTCTATAGTAAGCTCTCTGTAATGGTTAACTGGTACCATGGTTATTGTCACCACTCACGCGTTCTTTACACACATGAATTGGCATAGACGTGTGTGCACGCATGCGCTGTTTAAGCTGCTTAGCACATGGATGTTTCCCGTGGCTGCTGTAACAAACAACTGCCAACTGGGTGTCTTAAAACAGCAGAAGTTTATTCTGTTACAGTTCTGAAGCCCCAAGTTCAAAATCAAGGCAGCAGCAGGGCCAAAGGCTCTAGGGGAGGATCCTTCCTTCTCTCTTCCAGCTTCTGGGGGCTCCAGGAGTATTTTGGCTTGTGGCTACATCACCCTAACCCCTGCCACTGTTGTCACATAACTTTCTCCTCTCGGCTCTCTCTGTCCCTCCTTGGTGTGTCTCTTTTAAGGGCATTTGTCAATAGATTTCGGGCCCATCCAGATAATCCACGATGACCTTTACTTAATTGACCCTTTTCCCAAATAAGGTCCCTGTCACAGTTTCCAGGTATTAGAGCAGGGACTTTTCTCTTCTCTTCCTTCCCTTCCCTCCCCTTCCCTTTCCCTTCCCTTGCCTTTCCTTTCCTTTCCTTCCCTTTCCTTCCCTTTCCCTTTCTTTCTTTCTTTCTTTCTTTCTTTCTTTCTTTCTTTCTTTCTTTCTTTCTTTCTTTTCTTTCTTATTCTTTCTTTCTTACTTTCTTACTTTTTTTGGTTAGTGGTGGTAGTGGCACCATTCAACCTTCTATACTACAGCTGTTAATTTCATTTTTGCATTCACCAGAATTCAGTGTATGGAGCGTGAGATAACACAGTGCAGATGCCAGGCATCCAGCAGCAGATAAAGCAGCCCAGGGGCTCCTACTCCTTGCCAGTTAGGTTTTTGAGCATCATGGCCCACTAGATGTTACCATGCCAGCTACACAGGACAGTTTAAACTTTCTAGAAGCGACAGTTAAAAAACATACAAAGAAATAGGTGAAATTAATTTTAATAATATCTTAAATGTAAACCTCATTGTTCTAAAATAGTATATCAACGTGTAATCAACATCTTAAAAATTATTAATGAGACATTGTACGTTCTTTTCTTGTGCCCAGTCTCCGAAATCTGGTGTGCGTTCTGCACTGGCTACACATCTCAATTTGTGCCACAGCCACATTTGAAGTGCTCAGTGCTGCGCCGTGGCTTGGGGCTGCCATAGGGGACAGCGTGCTCGTCAGCCTATATTTCAAATGTTCACGTATTTTCTTACAGTGCCCCTCTGTGTCCAAGCATACACACAAATAATTAACAGTTGAAGTTAAACTATATTCAGTTTGGTATCCTGCCTCATATAAATATGTTGTTGCAAGCATTTAATCACCCAGGTCATTAAAAATTCTCCCTAAACATGATTTTAATGGCAGGGTAATTTTTAGTTATTAATACAACCATTCTCCCATTATTGGGCATGCTTAGTCATTTCCATGTTTTTTTCTCACCTTTATAAATAACACTGTAGTGACCATGGACAGATTATCTCTTTGATTACATTTAGGTGAGATTCCTGGAAGTTATATCTTGCCTTTTGCATTTGGCAATATGTCTTTAAGATTATTGCATACAGAATTACTTTCGGCATGTTAACAGCTACAAAGTAGCTTATAATTTATTTAATGAATGGCTAATTAGGTCATTTCCACTATTTGATTGTAACGACAAAGCTGCAGTGAACATCTTTGCATATTTCACATTCTTGTGTATTTCACTTGGCATACTTTTCTGTAAGAGTGACTGTAGTGTCTATTCCAGCAGCAAGAGGTCAGAAAGCATGTAATCCTATACAGAGCCCAGCAAGGATGCTGCCCTTTCCTTGGCCTGAGGGGACCCCTCAATCCCATTGCCAGACCCTATTAAGCCCTGCCTATCTGTCTGCAGCTTGTGGTACATGTGGGGGTGTCAGGCATGGCGACCGCAGTCACACTGGAGAAATGCGGGCACAACAAAGGTTACAAGGGGCTGGACAACTGCCGATTCTGCCCTGGCTCCCAATGCTGTGTGGAGGATGGGCCTGAAAGCATTGACTCTATCATCGACATGGACGCTGTATGTAAGAGGGTTACTACACTGGGCCTGGATGTGTCAGTGACCATCTCACAAGATGCCGGCAGGTAAGACACCATGGAGCCCGATGAGGTAGGTGTGAGTAGAGGTTTCCCTCATCCATCAGCCCAGGCTGGATGTTGGACAAGCCACGTGTGTTAACTTTGCCTCTTCGGGCTGAGCACTCTTTTATCTTTTTTTTTTAAGTCTACTTTTTAAAAAACTTTTGAAAATTTTATTGATTTGCAACCTAATTAAAGCATGGGATATTTTAACAGTATTATACATAATATTTTTACATTGAAAACTTTATGTAGCATTTCACGATATATAATTCTCACCATGCATGAGGCACAGAGCTAAGTATATGTACATAACAGATCCCACTGATTCTGCTTCTGGAACTCATTATATGTGGATCTACCCACTTCTCCCCACCCAGACCCCTGGCATCTCCCACATGGATGTTGCTCTGGCCCCCTCCCTGTGTTCCTCCTGCCACCTCTACCCCAACCCTGACAGTCTTTCTCCCCTAAGCAGTCGGTTTCTGTTAGTTTCCTAAGGCTGCTGTAACAAATTACCGTGTTGGTGGCTTAGGACAACAAAAATTTATTATCTTCCAGTTCTGGAGGCTACAAGTCCAAAATCAAGGTGTCAGCAGGGTTGGTTCCTTCTGGAGGCTCTGAGAGAGAATCTGTAGTAGGCCTCTCTCCTGACTTGTGCCTGACTACTGGCAACCTTTAGTGTTCTGTGGCCTGTAAATGCTTCGCTCTAATATCTGTTTTCATCTTCACATGGCCTTCTTCCCTGTGTGTGTATTCACATGGCCTTTTTACAAGGACATGAGTCTTTGGATTTAAGGCCTACCCTGGTCCAGTATAACCTTATCTTAACTAATTGCATCTGCAAAACACACATCTCCAAATAAGGTCATATTTTGAGGTTCCATGTGAACATAAATTTTGGGGAGTAACTATTCAGCCTGTTACCAGGTCTTTTATTAAGTTAAGTCACATGATGTCCCTATCTTGCTTGATTCTTCCTGCAGCTTCCACTATACCTCGAATAAAATCCCAACTCCCCACCATCCACAGGTTTTCTGTGGTCTGGCCCCTGCCTACCTCTCCATCCTCATCTGCTTCCACTCTCCCCTTACCCACTATATTCCAGACCTCCTCCTGTTCCTCAAAAACACTGGCTCACTTTAGCCTCAGGGCCTTTGCACATGCCGTGACCATTGCCTAGAACTCACCTCCCTCTGATAACACCTCTTTCAAGTCTTCACTCCATCATGTTTCCTCCTTGGCAAGGCTTCTCCAACCGCCCAGACCTCTCTGTTCTGTGTGCTTTCAGCACCAGGTACCTGAGTCTCTCAATACTTTGTATACTTCTCCAGCCCAAAGGCAGCATGTGGCAAATTCAGTTGATGGAATGAAGAAGTGGCTGAATTTACCATCGGTCTTTTTTCTTTTTCCTTTTTTTAAAAAAAGTTATTTTTTAAATTGAAATATAGTTGAGGTTCATAAGTTATGTTACAGATGTAGAATATGTTCCAGGTGTACAGTATAGTGATTCACAATTTTTAAAGTTTATACTCCATCTATACTTATAAAATATTGGCTATATTCCCCATGTTATGTCCTTGTAACTTATTTTATTTATTAAAAAAATTTTTGGTGGGGGAGGTAATTAGGTTTATTTATTTACTTTAATGGTGGTACTGGGGTTTGAACCCAGGACCTCATGCATGCTAAGTACATGCTCTACCACTGAGCTATACCCTGCTCCCTAACAGTCTTTCTTTAAAATTAATTTTAAATTACTCAGATATTTCTGGAATATTTTCTCATACATTCCTGGTATTAAAGATTCTCTTGCCCTTTCTCCTCTCCCACCCCCTGCCCCAGTAATCCCTCTGTTAGATCAGAGACTTAAGTTGTGAACCTTCCAACTCACCCGCATTTCCATACATATGTAGGACACTTGGCATGCTGCTTTGAAATTTTGTCCTGTTTCACTCTGGTTCTACATAGATGTGGTTACATGGTGTGCATTTTTTGTGAGAGTTCCCTTTCTTCGTTTTTCACTTGTGGGCACACAACGTGGTCCTAGTGAGTTCTCTGTCTTCCTGTGGACCTACTGCCTACATTGTAAATGGCTGCATAATATTCCACTGTGTGGATGAACAGAGTTTATTAAGCCACTCCTCTGTCAGTGGACTTTTAGGTGGTGTCTTAGTCTGTTCAGGCTGCTATAACAAAAACTCCCAGACCAGCAGCCTATAAACAACAGAACGTTATTGCTCACAGTTCTGGAGGCAGTAAAGTTCAAGATCAACGCCTTCCTACAGATTGCAGACTGCTGACTTCTTGCTGTGTCCTCACAGGGTGGGAGGGATTTTGAGGGGACCATCAACATTCAGACCCTGGCAGGTTGCTTCCAGTTTTTCTGCTTTTATTCATCATGCTGCAGCAGATACCTTGTTCATCTTTCTTGGGCCCTTGTGCAGCTGGCTCCTGAGATAGAGTCCAGAAACTCGAAACATCAGGTCATAAAGTCTCTGCATTTATAATTTGACTAGCCTGCCAGATTGCCCTCCTCTGGAGCAATTGGCATCCCCACCAGCAGCATCTCACACTGCCTGCTTCCCCACATATACACCAGCACTTGGAGTTACTATTTTTTTTTCCCAGCACTTGAAGTAACTGGGGTTTTTTGTTTGTTTGTTTCTTTGTTTTTTCATTTTTGCTGGTGTGGGGAAGAGGAAGCAATATTCCATCGTGCGGATTGCTGGTGAGGTTGGTGGGGGAGGGGAATGTCTTACGATGCATTTGGATGGAACATTCGCTCTCTGACCCTGTTTTGGTTTCCCTCCCATCCCCTGCGCCCTGTGGTTTAGGTACCTCTGTGACTTCACCTACTATACCTCTCTGTACCAGAGTCACGGCCGCTCAGCCTTTGTTCACGTGCCCCCTCTGGGCAAGCCATACAACGCGGACCAGCTGGGTAGGGCGCTTCAGGCCATCATCGAGGAGATGCTGGACGTCCTGGAGCAATCAGAAGGCAAAATCAACTGTTGCCACAAACACTGAGAGCCATTCAGGCCTACCAAGACCTCATCCCGCCAGGGACCCTGGGAGAGATGTCCCCCTGCAGGGGCCTGGCCTGAAACGACAAGCCTGTCAGCTGGGGATCCAATTTGAATGGAATCTGCCAACTTAGCACTCACTTCCTCTCCCTTTCCCTCTGCAAAAGCACCAGTTGATTTGAAGGGGGCAGCTGGAGATTTTTTTCCCATCTATTTCTCTTTGCGTCTGGGGATGCAGCTGTGGCAGCCAGGAAGCCAGGAGGTCCTGAGGTCCTGATTTCTGCAGAGAACCCTAATCAGGTGGCGCTCCACTCTGCAATCCCATGGCTGGGGCCACCTGCTTTTCTAAGTCTGTGTTGGAGGAATTCCGGAGTTCCCTCTGTCTGGGACTGGTTTTGCCAAAATTTAAAAGCTTTATGAAGAGTCTTTACCCTGATCTATGTCCCAACAGCCTGGACTTCCCCGACTAGGGCTGCCTTGGGATGTGTCATGGGTTCTTTTCTTTCTTTTTTATTCTCTTTTTAAAAACAATAGCACTAGTTTGGGCACAGAGTAATTTATATTCCCTTTGGTTAAAACGTGGGCTCTAGCGAAACACAGAAGTGTCTTTTGTGGGGTGTGGCCCCTTCTGCCTCCTGCCGCAAACACTGGACCTACATCTTTGGGGGCTGACACTGAGATCCCCTCGCTGGGGGCTGTGGGTGCTGGCCCATGGCCAGAACACAGGGAGGGGCTGGGTGGCTGCTGCCCCAGGAGATTGAAAGAGTTGGTTGATCCTTTCAACAACCGAGCTGTGTGCTGTACCCACAGGGCCTCCAGAGCTGGGTGCCAGCGGGAAGGCAGACTGTCATTTCAACGTGCACATGACTTTTTTTTCTTAACACGTAGAAATGCGTAGCAGCTGCAAACCTACCCCACATCTGGCCTGGATTTTCAGTTTTGGTGCTGGGGACCAGCTTCTTGTTTTCTTCAGCAGTGGGGTGCCCAAAAGGGAGTCTGGGGGCTGAGCTCCATGTGTGCTGGTGTGTTTGAACAGGAGGGCAGCCAGCAGGCTTTTATGTAGATGGTTTTGGGACCCAGGACTAGATAAATTTTTATCTCACTCTCTGGGGTGACTTGGAATTTACTAGCCAGGAATGAGAGTCACAACCCCCAGGAGGCAACTGAGTTCACCTGGACCTTGACACCCATCAAAGAGAGGGAGGGGCAGCAGCAACCATGAGGAAAATCCACCTCTGGGAAATAGTCTTCTATTTTTTGGAGAACACACAGTTTTATCATCTCCCTAAGTGTAAGGCATGCAGGGATCTGACGCTGTTTGGATCCTGTTGGTGTTTCCTAGCACGGAGTTCTTCTGAAAACAGCTGAGATTTTTGTTTTGTTTTGGTTTTCTTAAACACTCACCCTCTTTACCTCCTATTCTGATGCCCAGGGTAGTTCTTGCCTCTGCTGAGCTGCTGTGTTGCTTGGAAACCAGGTTAATGGGTTTCTGAGTTAAATGCATTTCTGAGTCCTGGACTTTCTCTGGGTGGGAGGAAATGTGTGCAGGTGGGTGACTTGGGGTCAGCATGTGGCAGTTAGCGTGGATGGTGGCTGGCAGGGTGAAATGATCAGGAACCCCCAAGTCAGCCCTCCCTCTGCCAGAAATGCCTCCCTCACATCCCCAGTCCTAGTTTGCTGTCTCTTGAGAAATCTGGAATGTGGGTTATCATTGCTTTTACTCACTCAGCTGGCTTCTGTGAGCAGAGGTTGTGGCTCTTTTGAACATGGGAGGCTCAAAGCCAGAGGGTCCGCGAGATGTCTTATTCAGATTGACATCAAGCTCTGTCTAGCTCGGTTCCCTAAAGGTCTGATCTGTGGGGCTCTGAGGAGGAAATGGATCCAGGCAAATTGGAGAGGGGAGGGGGGAACTGGAAGTGAGCCAGGTTTGAGCTTAGCTGGAACCCAGACACACCATCCCCAGACTCTGCATTTTTATCTTTCTTTTGTCCTCATTCCTCTCTGTTTAAAGCACCGTGTGATTTAGCAACTTAGAGATATAACTTATTGTCTGACCATTGTCGAGTGTGTGTGTGTCATTTTTATGTTCCTGCAATGGTTTTAGATTTCCTCATCAAGTCAAGCTGGAACCCTGTCCTTGTTCACAATACAGAGCATATTGCTTGTTTTTATTTAATCAGATAGTCATTAAACATTTCATTCGCTCCCTGCCAGCTTTTTAATTTTCCTGTTTTAATTATTTTTATCTTTTTCTTTTGGGCAAATTCATCTGTTCACTCCATGGTGTGTCTGTCTGCATTTGTTGGGTCCCGGACTAAAACATCCTTGTCTGAGAAGGTGGGGGTGTGGCTGGTCGCATTCCTTCTCCCTTACCATTTCAGAGTCTCAGACTGTGGCGGGCACAGAACAAGGAAAGGGACAGGTTTGTGATGTGAGTGCAGCTTGTAGGTATGTAGGTGAGCGATGCCAGAAGCGGTGGGTGCAGTGAGTGTAGAAGGATGGGCTGAGGGATGTGATGGGAAGGCTGATGGGGGAAAGGTGAGAAGTGATGCTGGGGTTGGAGCCGTGGGAAGGTGAAGGAGGGGCCTCTGGTGAGCCCCTGCAGAGGATGCTGAGGTGGAGGACGGGCAGGGGCAGTGATCTGGGGGACTAGTGATGGCATCTCCTTTAAGTTGCCAGAGCCTCGGACCTTTTGACTTTATTCTTCTTTCAGCCACTTTGGGTACCCCCCCCCCACCAAGAAGAAGGTCAGTGGTCTGTGCCTGAGTATGTAGTTGGAAAAGAAATAAGACAGAGTGGATAG